AAAAGTTGACTTCCCAACAGTATAAGAAAATCAGAATAGAAATAGAGAGTTATCTGCAGAAATTACCCTTCTGCAGATATATAGGAAGACTTTTAAGTTGTTTTCAAGACAAAAAAAAATATTTATTGTAAAGATCAGAAAGAAATGATCTGGTAAACCCTATTGGCTCCCTGACAAATCAGCAATGGTATTGAAAATAATGTTTTCTTCTTGATATATCCATATTTTTACTTGAGGTTAAAATGTAGAGATATTCTTAAATAGCTATTTTGGCACATGTACATATTTAAACTCTCATGCATCAAGTCCCTCATCCCTGACTAAGATAAAAATGCAAAATCTTGTGGGCTTAAAAAAAAAATCAAAAACACATATTCAGGTCAAAAGGAGAAAATAAAAAGAAGGAACCAACCTGTCTCAGCTGGGAGAGGCGCAGTCTTGAGTGAGGAGGATTCCAAAGGACCTCTGAGTCAGGCCGCTCTTGTTTTCGCTTTTTACACCCCGCCTTTATCTTGGATCCAAGAGAGCTTTCCTGAAATGTAACCTCCGGAGTACTTGATTAAGTGCTCTGGAAAACCTTCCTGTGGAGTCCGTCCAAATTCTTAAATGTCTGGATACAGATGGAAGGAGTTCCAGTTTGGCTCCCAAACTGCAGGATTGCCAGTTTCCACTCAGCTGAGGGGGAGAAGAGAAGGTCTGCGGCTGGGCAACCTGCTCAGCCCAGAGGGGACACTGAGGGCAGCCGGGGGCCACAGGCCCGCTAGGGGAGCTGCAGAAATACTTGAGAAAGTTACTAAGAGAGAAAACTAAAACGATTTTTACCAGAAAGCTATCCTTTTGAAAACCAAATTATGTAAGATGAAGCTCCAAAGTCCCCGTCAGGCACTTACAGCAGAACTTACAGTTTTCATACTCCGCACAGCACAGTTTCATGCTTGACTTAAGCAGAGTCCTGGCTCACTGTAGTCTTCTCTCTCTCTGGGATCGAAAGTGTGGCTTTTTCTGTGGCTTTCTCTTGTTTTTCTTAGAACCTTTTCATCAAGGGCCAAATACAAACCTTCAAAAATCCTCTGTGTGGAGAGGCTGTTTTCCCAGGCTGCCAAACAAATGCGTGTTAGAGAAGGAAGTGATGAATGTAGAATTGGTCTTCCTGCTCTATTTGAACTCAACTCACCTCATGTTTGCATAGTATCACCTCATTTTCTCATGCAAAGCTAGCCTAGGTGCCCACCTGCAGAATTTATTTTAGACCCAAGCATTTTTGTGCTCTCAGTGATTGTTACAGCCTCTATGTTGATTCATGCAAAAAGAGACTCAGTCATATCTGCCTTCATCTTTATTTCCCCCAGTGTACGTCTGGAGGTCAAGGGAGGCAGCATCTCCTTCTACCTCACCACCTCTCTTTGAGGAAGCATCATTTGCACGCGGCTAAACCAGCTTACCACGAGATTCGTGCCATTTGCCATTTTCCGTGGCCTATGCATTCAACCATAGCCAGTTTTCAGAACTGAAGTTACTGAATGAGAAATTACTAACAGAGGCGCATAATCCGTGCTTCTCCACAGGTGCTGGTGCTCTTTGTTTTCTTTGTTAATGTTTGTGGGTATTTGGTGTATGTCTGTGTGCCGCACCTGCAGTCAGATCTGCGGGAACTGGAGTTACAGTTGTGAGTTGCCATGTGGGTTTTGGGTGCAGGGAATTGAACTCTAGAAAAGCAGCCAGTGTTCCCAACTGCTGAGCCATCTCCCCAGCCCCAAGCTAGTACAGTTTTACTAGGGAGATACAAGTACATCCGTGAACAGGTAAAGGCAATGTAGGCTTAGGGATGTAGCTCAGCTGATAAGTACAGGGTACAGGCCTAGCATGGCAGAAAGCCCTGGGTTCAATTCTTAGTCCCATGTAAACAAGGTATACTGACTCACATCTGTAATCCCATCACATGTGCTTTAGCCCATACTGGCCTGGGCTATATGAGGCCTTGTCTAAAGAAAGGGGAAATAGGGTAGGGGAAGAGAATAGGAGAAAATATATGATATGTGTACATATATACACAGTATACTTCAGTTCTGCCATGAAGAACAAATACATTTCTGGTATTCCACGATGCTACCTGTCATGCAGTCTTAATATTGCTATATGTATGCTTAAATATATCTCCTCCATTTCCTTGTTTACCCTAAGAAACTACTTATTTTCTTATGAATTGGGTTCCTGTCTTGTGAACCAGTTGTAATTTTATAATAATCTTTACAGCTTTTGAATTAAAATAATCATTTTCTTCAAGCTTAAGCCCTCAGGACATAAAGGGCACCAGGACTGAGCTGGTGCTTCTGGCCCGGTGTGCTGAGTTCCACCGTGTGTGAGTCATGGTGAATAGAGCCCTGGCTATGTGTGCTTTTACTTCTCCAGACACAACTAGACTTAGTGGTAACGGGAAATTTGACAAGATATGAAAAGTATCTGGGTGTGGTAGCTCAGGCTTGTAATCCCAGCTCTCTGGATGTTGAAACAAGAGGATCACACGTTCAACACCCACCTAGACTACACAGCGACAGCCTGACTCAAACCGAACAGCAAATGATAGATAGATAGATAGATAGATAGATAGATAGATAGATAGATAGATAGATAGACAGACAGACAGATAGATGGTAGGTAGGTAGATAAATGGTAGATAGATAGATAGATAGATAGATAGATAGATAGATAGATAGATAGATAGATAGATAGATAGTAGGTAGATAGATATTAGATAGGTAGATAGAGAGTAGGTAGATAGAGAGTAGGTAAGTAGATAGATAGATGATAGATAGATAGATAGATAGATAGATAGATAGATAGATAGATAGATAGATAGATAGATAGATAATAGGTAGATAGATAATAGGTAGATGGAGAGTAGTTAGGTAGATGATAGATGGATGGATGGATGATAGATAGATAGATAGATAGATAGATAGATAGATAGATAGATAGATAGATAGATAGATAGATAAGGAAGAGAGAAATAGTAGTCACAGGAATTGAGAGGCTGCTGGAGAAAAGCTTTACCCACTGTGGGCAACTTTCAGAGTACTTGATGTTTATTCTGTTGGGATTCCCCCCCGCCCCTTAATCTCTCTTCCATTTCTTCTTAGAATCTTTGATTCTCATTTTCTTCAAATGGACTGTAAACAATTTTCTCTTGTCTTAGCATAGCAATGCCTTTTGGTCCCCCAAATCTCTCTCTGTCTGCATCCATTTTCTGGCTCTGCTGGTGGTACTGTTTTGCCTGGTGATGGATGTATGACTAAACTATATGCTACATTGTCTGTCACCTAGAACACCATTGATGTTGGGCTGTGCTCTGAGCATTAATTAGATAACCTTAGCTCTTCTTTTTTAGTGTCCACATTACATGTTTAATTCATATTCTATGAGTTTTTAATGTCACTCTTAGCTTAAGGAAAATGCACCTTTATCTAAACTCACCATCAATGAGTTTCAGTAGAAGTAATATTTTATTGCATGTATTACCATAATTTGCCTTATTATTTCTTTGGGAAATTTATATATTTTTAGTGTTATAAACCACATTGCAGAGTGATATGTTTGTAGATAGTGTGAGAAGATGAACTTAATCTTGGGAACTTTGAAGACTATAATGAGGTGTATAGACATTATCTCTTTGTCTTCTATGCCAAAGATAGTATGATTTGCTTGTGTTGGTAATCTTGAGTCCTTCCATGTTGGTGCAGAGAAAGCTTTCATAGCCCCCTAGAGGCCTAGATTGTGGCCATAGCACAGCACATTTCCACAGTCCTCTTGCACTTCACAGTGATACTACTGCAGTGGATAGTCTCACGTCCCTGCCATTGCGTGGAGGGACAGCCATATTTACAGGATAAATAATGATGGCAGCGGTTGGGTGGGAGGGTCAGAGACTGAATGAGTCTGTAGTCTTGGTGGGCATTGCCAGGTTGTGTTCCTTAGGAATGGCTTTGCTTTGTTCTTCCCCCAGCAATATGTGGAAGTGCCCGTTTCCTTACTCCTGACAATGGACTCGTGTGGCAACGCTTTACGTTCTCCCATGCCTCGCCAGCCCCATGTGAAGTTCTGACCATCAGCTGCTCTAAATATTCCTTTGACGTTTAACTGCAAACTGGTATTTCATCATTGCTTTGTTCTGCTTTGATTTGGGGGACTGATAAAGTTAAATGCTGGAAAAGTCTCTTTATTTCTTATCTATTCTTTCTGTAAATTTGTCCTTTGCTTATCTTTATACTGATTCTCAGCTATTTTTAATAGTTGATATTAAAATATTTTTTAATTTTTTAAATTAAATATTAATACTGGAGATATTAAAATATTTTGTTGAAAATGTTAAAATATTTTTTTCAATTTTTTGGTATTTTCTTTTATTTCTTAATATAAAATAACTTTATATTGGCAAATAATTTGATCTTTTACTTTCATTTATAGTTTTGTGGGATTTTCTTTGTTGTTTTTTTTTGTTGTTATTCTATCTTTTCTTTTTTTTTTTTTTTTTTTTTTTTTTTTG